ACCATCCAGTCCCTGGTCTCGTCGCACGTGCGATGGAAAAGCTCCACGCTCGAGGCGCCCTCCAGACTGCGCTCCTTCTGCTGCTTGAGGCGGTTGAGGTGGGCCCACTGGTCCTGGATCTGCTTGTGGCGGTTCTTGATCTTTTCCAGCTGACTGTGACCCGAGGCCACGAAGTCCTTCACCATCTTGTCAATGATCTCGATCCTGCGACCCGCAGCCGACAGATCTGTCAAGAATTGCTCGAACTTTTTCTTGGCGGCATCGACGGTATCGCCCTTGTCATCCGTCTTCAGGAGCTTCTCCTTCTCCCTCATCCACAGCTCAAAGCCTTGGCACTCGCTGAAGAAGGAGTAGAGCTTGATGGATTCCTCCAGGTAGAGGTGACGCTTCTGCGCAAGGTCGCACAGCTGGTTGTAAGAAGAGTTGATCAACTGCAGCCGCTTCTCGACCGTTTCCGGCTCTTCAGCTACCTTCTTGCTTCGAGCTGAAACACAAAAGACGGAGAAATAACAAAGGAAAACAACAAACTGATGCAATTATATTGATTTATAAAAATACACACACACATATATATGGTGTGTGTGTGTGTGTGTGTGTGTGTGTGTGTGTGTGTGTGTGTGTGTGTGTGTGTGTGTGTGTGTGTGTGTGTGTGTGTGTGTGTGTGTGTGTGTGTGTGTGTGTGTGTGTGTGTGTGTGTGTGTGTGTGTGCGCGTGTGCGAGTGCGTGCATGTGCGAGTGCGTGCATGTGCGTGTGCGTTTGTCGCGCACTAAAAACACAGCAAAACCTACGCGGCGCCTTGGGTTTCCTCTTCTTGACTTTGACGGTCTGCTTCACCATCTTGGTCTTGGGCACCATCTTCTTCTTGGGGACGCGCACCTCCTTCTTGACGTGGACGTTGATCTTCTTGGGCTGGCCTTCTCGCACGTAGTTGGCTGGCACGAAGCCCTCGTCCCCGTTGGCCTTCCTTACGTTCCACCAATCATCGTTCGTCTTGCTCAACAGGAACAAGACCTGAAGGAGAAATTGTGTAATGGAAGTTATGTTCAGAAATATAGTTAGAAATATTCAGAAAGTAAATGTCAAACTTTGTAAAACAAGATATGTAAAAAATATACAACATCGACATTTGAGTCCTAGCATATCAAAAATAGTACATAAAGAAAACAGAATCAAAAACAGCCATATCGATAATAACAATACGACCACCTTGGTTATATCAATAGTAGTGTGGCAACCACGAGAACCACGAGAACCACTACTAACCTCTCGCTTGGCCATGTGCATGCCCTGGCCCTCGAAGTCATACCTCGCGACCACCGTGGGCACTTCCCTCACTTCCATGACAGTCACTTCTTCCACATCGTCAACCACTTCTTCCACCGTGACCTCCTGTGGGACCATCTTCACCTCGTCGACCCACTCAAACTCTTCCTCGTCCTCCGCCGGGATCTGCTGCTGAGGGGTGATCTGTGAGGAGGAATGGGTCGAGTAGTTAGTTTGGTTTCCGTTGGGAGTAACGGACGTCTTGCGTGGGCGACAGCAAGGAAGGACGTTTAGTTGTGATGCTAGTTGCCAATCCAAGCTTAATTAAAAGATTCTGTAATGTATAGGGGTCATCTCCGGTAATCCAAAATTAATATCTTCCCCTACTTTCGGGTATTTGTGAAATATGTAACGTACTGATATGTTTTATGTCGAACAACATAAATACTAAATTTTCCTTATAAAATCATATTTGTACAAGATAAAGCGTAATCAAATATCGAATATAAAAAAACACCAAGACCAGATGGCAAACTAAAGCTTACATTCAGTGAGGATATGCCCGACTTGATGAGCTTCTGGCCTTGGCATTGACAGCCTTGACGTCCCCATCGTAGGCCTTGATCTCCTCCTCCATGCGGACGTGCAGCTGCAGGAGAGCCATGCCGCTGGGCTCGTCCTCGCCGTAATCCTTGGACTGGCAGAGTGGCAGCTTCTCCTTGATCCACGACTCGACCTCGTTGGCGTCGGCGTTGAACTGTGGAAGGAGATTGTTAAGTGATTTGAAGAAAGGTACTTCGGTTGCATTATGTATTTTTTAGAATGGAAACATTGCAATATGAGCGATGCAGCCAAGTGCGAATAAATTACTGAAAACTATTAATCACAAAGGAATAAAAAAACATGAACAGCCCGACACTGCCAATGTTGCAGCCACACCATCCGCCCTCAACCATCCAGCGGGCATTCATCCTCCCTCACCGAACAAGCCTCTGCTGCATCCTCCAGCTGCCTCCTCCTCTCGGCGGCGTAGTGCTCCAGGCCCTTCCACTTGTCCTTGAGGGCGGCGATGCGCTCGCTTATAGCTTTGGCCTCGGGATGGTCGGCCTTGAGCATGGCCTCGCCCGAACGCATGATCTTCTCTGACTTGGGGCGTCGGGCTCGCATCTCGTCCTCGAGTGCCTGGTCGAGGGTAAGACGGTGGTTGTTTCTGATTATGAGGTCTTTTTAGTGGTCTCGTGTTATTCTGTTACTTGGTATGTCATATGTTTGAGTCAGATTCACCGTGGTACTGCAATATAAGCTTTAAAGTAAGAAAGATATTAAAGATGGGAATAATTTTGGTTATTAAGTAGAAACCAAAAATCATTTCATTATAAAGATAAACAAGATGAAACCGAATAGAACATTTAGGCATAAAACCACAGAAATTCATTGATTAAGTTTTACTCCTTAAATGTGAAAAAAACATGCATACTACTAATACTTCGAGATAAGACACCTCGTATCTATCCAGACATGTGCAAATAAACCTTCAAATCTAGCATCTTTCTTGTCAAATGACAAAAAAAAACATGTAGTAGCAACACCAAATAATAAAAAAACATATATAATATTTTACCATCCAAACTACAAACATCTTCAGAAATTACAACATACAAGCAAGTACATAAAATGATCCACTGAAGCGAAAATACTGCATGAACGACATGACAGTGCTATGCTTTGTTCCTGACAAGAAGGATGCCAGCTTTTTTTGTGATTGGACATGCACTATACATCCGCTGGTAAACATTACCTTCAAAAACACAGCTTCCTGGTACGGTGTAAGGTTACGGTGAGTAGCAGTGTTAATGCAGTGTTACACCACAGTGGCAGAGAGGTAGGGGAAGGGAGTGGAGATACCATGGGAAAAGAAAGCCATTATCTATATCAGGCAGAATATGCATGGATGAACATTTCGTACAGGAAGAGCTATGCTACAGGTTATACTGGATAGTCCCCTTGTATGTCATGCAAAGAGAAACATGTTTTATGTGCAGTGGGTTACGTGAAGATATAGTGATGTAAATGGTACTCATATCTGCAAGGAGAAGTCCCATAGAAATATTTACATGAAGGTGATATAAACTGCATTCCATATTTCATCCCAGCCAAAGATAAAATATTGAGTATATGTACAGCTTAAGAAATATAATACAGTGACAGTTTGTGGACAAAGCAAACGAACACAAACATACATACACACACGCGAGCGCTACACGCACGCACGCACGCACGCACGCACCCGCACCCACACACACACACACACACACACACACACACACACACACACACACACACACACACACACACACACACACACATGAACAAGCACACGCTCACGCACGTAAACGTTCACATTAACACATGTAACTGTTTTAAAACATGCAACTGCTACCATTACACAAGTAAGTAATAACAAAGCATTCTCTTCATTTTTTTTCTAAATGTTGAAAAGGAAGACCCTTAACAAAAAAACACCCATGTTTTATGCCAAGAAAGGTAGTCATGCAGTGTAAAAGTAGTATTGTAATGTTGTATGAGTTTAAACTAAATACAAGTCCCAAAACAAATACATGTCTAAAATGCCCTTAAAATACCATAGGAATATAACGTCTACATGGTATCAAAAGCTAGTATGTCAAGCGAGTTCTACTTTCGTAGTTGTGCTTGTCAGAAAATTCACACATATTAACTTTACTAATTACTTGTAATAATAGCAAATCTAACCTGCCCTAAATAAATGTAAGAGCTTTCCCCCTTTGTGGAAAAGGAGGGAGCCAAACCTTGTACCTTGTGCTTCTGCTGCAATGACAGGACTGCCCTGATGTCCTTGGCAGTGACGCCCGCCTGGCAGATCCTCTGCTTCTCTATGACCCAAGCTTCCTCCTCCTCCATGTCGACCTCGAACTGGAACAGATCCCTGGCCTCCTCGAGCCTCGCCCTACGTTCGGCCGCCTTCTTGAGGAGCGCCTCATGCCCCTTGTTGAGGTCCTGGAGTCTCTTCTGGAGGACGGGCGCGTCCTTGTGTCCCGTGCTGATGAAGGCCTCGCCCTGTTTGTTCAGCCTCTTGATCGTCTCTCCCATTGAGTGAACCTGCGACTCCATCAGCGCGTGCTTCTGCAGCAGGTCCTCTACTGCCAGCAGGTGACGACCTACATCGTCCGAGGTGAAGCTCACCTGGAGAAAAAAGTAATTTTCCATTAATGAATCCTCACATCTAAATCAAATGAAAGCCCTAATCAAAATCAAACAAATCTTCGTGTATGTGTCACAGAAAAAAGGAAATATCACTCACCTCCAGTTCTCGGATGGAGGCAGTGATGGTGTCCACTTCTCTCATGATCGCCACGAGGTCGCAGCAGTTCTGGAGGTGAACCTTGTGTTTGTTGAGAAGATCCAACAGTTCACTCCACTTCTTCAGGATGTCCTTTTCCTTCTTTCTAATGGCGTCCTTTCCACGGTAATTCTCAGCGTCCAATTCATCAGCCATCTTTGTGAGATCTTCAAATCTCTCTTGCTGCAATAAAATATATAACAATGAAGAAACCACACATATAACTGAAGTATCTCATAATGCATTAACATGATCCAGTATATGTAAGATCATAAAAATTAAGATTACACTGATAGAATTCACGGCACATACCCGAGCCAAAATATCAGCGCTGATTGCTTCGTGTTTCTTGACGGTGGCTTCCACCTGGGCCAGGTTGCTGCCGTAACGAGGTCACTCAAGACCTGGATCATCTCTTCAAGGTATCCCTTCGTAGCACGCTCTGGAAATCAATTTCATTGTAGTTAATCCTACTTTTCCACGTGTATCTAGAATAACGCTGCCTAGTTAACCAATCAGTAAAACACATGACGTCTGTTAGATTAAGTTATATTGAACTATACTGACTACCTAAAGAACCCTAAAACAGTCAACACTACTCATTCCTATTACCTTCTTGTCAAATTTGTAAGCCAGCTGCTCCAGCCTCTCCTGTCGAAGTAGCTCCTCCCTGAGAGCAACCTCTCTATGATGCTCGGCCTTCTCAAGCCTGTTCCACTCTCGCTCGATGTCGTGAACCATCTGGCCCTCCTTTGGGGTGTATGCAGGCTGGTTCAGGGCCTTCAGGCTCGCGTTGATGGAGAAAAAGAGGGCCTCGATCTCGCTTCTTTCCTTGTACCTAAAAAGAGGAAAAAGGAGAATTTTTGGATTTAGATTTTTTAAGAAGACTGAAATTGTCGTCTCCAAATTAGTGATGTTATTTTTTCTTTTTGCTTTATCATCAGTTTTATTCTAGATAACGTATCAGTTAGCTCCAGATCACTACTTCCACACAAGAACTCATTTCTCATCCCCGTGCCCTTACTTGGGAGGCTTCTCTTCCGTTCTGTACTTCTTGAACTGCAACAACAACTTCTGGATGCCATCTAGAGAATTGGGGAATTCCCTGCTGTCCAACTCGACGATCTTCATGAGGATCCACTCCAACAGTGTGCTGGTGATCTTCTCGTATTTCATCTTGCTGTCGTCTACATCCTTCATCTGGTTCATGATCTGAACAAAGAAAGAGAGAAGAATTAGTATCAACGACGCTGGTAAGGGTTAACTCTTATTCTTAATATTTCCCTCGTCTTAGTTATCCAAGAAGTGTAGATACCGGGAACGAGATGAAGACACATTACGATAAAAAAACAAGAATAGCAATGGCGATGACGACATTATGTACATAACGCAATAGAAGAGCAGCGCTGTGTGCACATATACTTACATTGGCAATTCTCTTCGAGCCCTTCAATTCATTCTTCATGCGGGCGAAGGTGTGGTAGTACGAAGCCACGTAAGTAATGATAGACTTCTCATCGGGTTTGTTGGTGTCCACATCTTCGAAGAAAAAAGGTAAGTGTTGTTTAGGAACACACAAAAAATCAAAAGCCGTTCTCAGTAATTGAACTCTTTAAAAGATATCCGCAAACAAATTCAATCGCACCTAAACTGAAATCCAAACCAAACAAACTAAGAAACGAATAAATACCACCGCTTCGAAAGCTCACCTTCGGCATCCAGGATCTTGGCGATGCCCAGCTCGTCGTGGGCAACGTTGAAGGCATTGTTGAGGTTGTGAATGTGGTTCTTCGCCACAAGGCTGTTGTAGTCGATGATGTCCGGACGGTGGGCGTGGATGAGGGCGTTGAAGCCCAGGCCGTCTCTCCATGATCCTAGGAGAATATGCACGTAAAAGTCGAGCTCTTTTTGACAAGTAATATAGGATCCATTTAGGAATATAGTTTCTAAGAATGTTGCAGGAATCGAATGGCCTTTAGTGACTGCTAGAACTTCCCTCCCAACTTTCAATAAGAACTACTCATGGTGTGTTTCATACATATTTTTTGTCCCTTCTTTTAATTCTTCCATCATTGACTTTTGATAATGACTCGCAACTCCTAATCAGAATCAGAGTCCAATCAGTTTCTGGTCTGATGAATCTAGATGTTACACCATGCAAGAGTAAACACCAACGCCAAAGGCACCAAATCAACAACAAAAAAATCATCCCAAATCTAAATCACAAATAGATTCTGATTCTAATCCAAATGAACCTAAACACGAAATCCCAAGGAATTTTAAACCCCAAACGAATGCAGATTTTTTTTTACACCAAACGAATGGAAACTTTGACTCGCACGATTCCAGACTTCGAATCCCCCTCAAAATAATCCAGATATTGAATAAAATCACCCCAGACTTAGTAGAATCCTAAAATAATTCAGATTTTGAACCCTCAACGATTCAAAAGATTTTGAGCCCCAGATGAATCCAGACCTAGAACCCCCCCACCCCCATCCAACTCCCAAATGACCCCAGATTTTGAACTCACGCGAAAAGTCCTCGATGTTGACGCCCCTGTATCCTGCGGTCTTCCTCTGACACCAAAGGAGCAGGGCATCTTTGGCGGATTTCTTCTCGCTGCTTTCGTTCTCCTCGTCCTGAAATCAAGACGTGGATTAATATCCTTTTAAGTAATCCCAAATGGAAGGGGGGGGGATGGATAGAAGGGGATAAAAAGAAGGGTATGAGAAGGGAAATCTATTTTTTTAAAGGAATTTTTAAATGCTATAATAGAATGCATATGCTAGTATTTTGACTTTCAAACAGTAAAAAAAATTCAAACAATCCAGTGACAGGTTTAACGCATTACTTTTATGTTAACGATTTATCTAAAATTTCAAGGGATTCTTGAAATAAATAAATAAATAAATATTAATCTTGTGGCCGTAATGCGAAAAAGTCTCAAGTTTCGACTACAAAGTAAAACGTTAGAGGAAGGAAAGAACTGAAATAAAGATAAAAAATAAGATTAGAAATAAAAAAAATATGCTTGTTGAAATACACAAAGATCACTGATAAAGAAATGAAAGGTAAATAAAAGAGACACATAAGTAATTTTTTTTAGGGTAAATACACACCTACAATGCAGAAAAGAAAAAAGCCCAACGCCATGAAACCGAGGAAGAGAACGAAAGGAAAACAAGGACCTAACGAAAGAAGTCAAGAACCGAAAGACAAAACCATGCAACCATACGAGAGCATACAAGACACCATACAACGGAATACAAAAGACTACAATAAAGCCAAATACAACGAAACGCAGACCACGTGACTAGGCAGAGGGAAAGTGTGGCAAAAGCAAAGAGGAAAGGAACGAGGATCGAGTGGCGTGGGAGGCGGGGCGGGCGGGCCGAGGACAGGGCGCTGAGCAGAGCGGCGCGTCGCTCCACCGGTAGAGCATGGCGAACCTGGTCAAGACGCCACCAGACATTACCTGCCTTCGGTGTCCCCCCCATGCGTCCCTCCCTCACTCCCTCCTCCGTTAAACGCCTCCCTCTTCCCCCCCCCTTCCGTTTCCTTTCCTTTCTCTTCCTCTTCCCTTTTCCTCGGTCGTTCCTTTCCTTTTAGTTTGTTCTCTCAAGGTTTCCTTTCATTTCCTTTCTCTCACTCCCTCTTCCTTTCCTTTTAACTTTATTAAGGCATTTCCCAATCCTTTCCACTCTCTTACGTACCTTCTCTATCCTTTCCACTCTCTTACTTCCTTTCCCTATGCTTTCCCCCGCTTCGCTTCCGTCCCTTTATTCCTTTCCATCTCCCTACCCTTTCCCTTCCTCTCCCGCTTCTCCCTTTTAGGCATTCAAAAAGATTTTCATGCATATAGACCCACGTGTGGAGAGGTGGGTGGGATTGTGGGTGGGTGTGTACACAGATCATTAAAACATCGTTAGACTGTGTCCTCTCTCTCCTGTCCCTCCTCCCTCATTCCATTTTACTTCCTCCTCACCCTCCTTCTCTTTCCCTTCCTCATCTCTCTTTCTTCCCGCATCTACTCTTCTTCCTTTCTTTCATTCCTTCTACTTTCTCTCCAAGTCCCCTTCGAGCATTATCACCTTTCCTATTCTTCCCTTCCCTCACCTGACCCTCTCCCTTCCTTCGCTCCTTCCCTACCTCCGTTTATATACCCTTTTCCCTTCCAATCCCCCCCTTGGACAACTCGCCGCTCGACTGACCTTTGTACCCGAGAGGTCAAGACAACAAGGGGCCAGGTCTTCGTTAGCTAGAACCAAGAAGTGCCTCTCCTCTCCCCTCTCCCTCTCCTCCCTCTCCATCTCCCTCTCTCTGCGCTGTCTGCTGCTGCTCCTTGACCTCCTTGCCTCCGACTTGCCGGATTCTCCCTTTATCCTACCCTTAAATCCCATCCCATTCTACCCTTAAATCCTATGCCACACCCTAATCCCCTGTCATATTAGCCTCATACGTCCCTTCTCCTCTACCTAAACGCATGATTTTTTCCCTATTCCCTTCTTCCCCTTCCCCTCTTCTTCCCACACTCACACACACACACACACACACACACACACCACACACACACAACACACACACACACACACACACACACACACACACACACACACTTCTACAAAGGCCATCACACACAAACAAACGTTGTCCTGGAGGAAGCAAATACTGACACGTGTCATGAGATCATCTGTTTATGCTCATACTGACTAATAGGAAGGAGGGGGAGAGGGAGGAGGAGGAGGAGGAGGAGGAGGAGGAGGAGGAGGAGGAGGAGGAGGAGGAGGAGGAGGGAGGAGGAGAGGAGGAGGAGAGGAGGAGGAGGAGGAGAGGAGGAGGAGGAGGAGGAGGAGGAGGAGGAGGAGAAGGAGGAGGAGGAGAAGGAGGGGAGGAGGAGGAGAGGAGGAGGAGGAGGAGGAGGAGGAGGAGAGAGGAGGGGAGGAGGAGAAGAGGAGGAAAGGAAGAGGAGGAGGAAGAGGAAGAGGAGGAGGAAGAAGAAGGAGGAGGAGGTGGTGGTGGAGAGGAGGAGGAGGAGGTGGAAGAGGAAGAGGAGGAGGAAGGAGGAGGAGGAGAGGAGGAGGAGGGAGGAGGAGAGGAGGAGAAGGAGGAGGAGGAGGAGGAGGAGGAAGACGACGACGAAGTGAATGAGAAAAGAAAAAAAAAAGAAAAATAGAAAAGGAGAAAGGATGAAAAAGAAAAAAAGAAAAGGAAGGAGAAAGAGAAAGAGAAAAGAGAATAACAATAAAAAAGGAAGCACAAGAAACAAAAAGAAAATAAAAGAAATAAAATACAAAAAAAACAACCGCCACAAACATCAACAAAACCCCTCCCCATCCCCCTACCCCCACCCCCCTCCGGCACATAGGCCTACTCACCACATCAATCTCAATCTCCTGAATCTGGAATCGCAGAATGATGGTCCAGATGAGGCGAGAATCAGGCGTGGATTGCCGTCTACGATGTCCTCGGCGCCGATGCTCTCAAGTCGGACCTGTTCGTTAAAAGAAGGTGGTCGTTAGATAGCGTACAAGAGAGGAAAAGTGGTTGTTAGACGGTGTACAATAAGGGAGGGGAAAGTGGTCGTTAGACGGTATATAATAAGAGAGGGGAATGTGGTCGTTAGACGGAGTACGATCAGAAGGAAAAGATGTTCGTTAAAGAAAAACTAAGTGGTCGTTATACGGTGTATCCGTTAGAAATAGGTGGCCTTTAGAGGGTGTACAATAAAGGGGAGAAAGACATTCGTTAAGAGAAAAAATCGTTGTAGAGTGTGGTCGTTATAGAGTGTTTATAATGGGGAGCGCTCTTCGTTGGAGAAAAAATTATCTTTTAATGAGCTTACGATTAAATCTTCAATGACCGTTTATGTCTGTGTCAATTCATGTATGATAATTAGCTACGTTGTTTGTGAGAAATATAATTGTACATTCACAGATGATATAAAACCTGATAATAGCTTTGGCATGATGATGATGATGATGATAATGACTGATGATGATGATGATGATGATGATGATGATGATGATGATGAAGATGAAGATGAAGATGAAGATGAAGATGAAGATGATGAAGATGATTGATGATGACGACGATGACGATGATAGTAATAGTAAAGTAATAGCAATAAAAAATAATAACAACAATAGTAATAGTAAAACACATCCTCGTAAATAGAATTCGATAAAACGTAGTGCGTCTCTCCCACGTATTGCATAATCCTCAAACAAACAGACAGGCAATAAAATAAAGAATTCACTTGGCAATTTCAGCTAAAAAAAAACTACACAAAACATACACAAGCCAGCCTGTGTACATATGGCTTTCCAGGTCACTACTGTTAAAGGAAAGGTGAGTCAGTTGCAGTTGCAGACGCAGTGTCCTCTCCTCTCCTCTCCTCTCCTCTTCTCTTCCTATGTCTTATGTCCCTTTTTCCACTTTCTTTTCTCTTCAGTCCCCTGACTATGTCCTATGTTATTTTCCTCTTTTCTACTCTTCACTCCTTCCTATGTCCTATCCCCTTTCCCTTCACTTTCTTTTCCTCTTATCTTCCTTTCATTCCTCTTGCTATACACTATCTCTTATTTTCCTTCACATTTTTATCCCTCTCTACCCCCTCTCATCTCCACTCTTTTATCATTCCATCCCCTCTCTCTCCCTCTCACCCCTCTTCCATCCCCTTCTCATTTACCTTTCTCTCCCCTCTTTTCCTCATTTCCCTCTATTTTCCCCAATCCCTCCCATTCCGAGTGTCGCACTGAAACGGAATCCGACACAAGTGACACGGCGACAGCGAACGGGCGACACGACAGAGTAAAAAGGTGTCGTGTTCGAAGAGACTAGACTTGCCCTACGCGGTGTACTGTGCGCAAGGGGGCAATGCTGGTCTTGTCTTTCAGTACTGCGGCTGGAAAATAATCCGGTGCTAAGCTCCCTTCCCTCCATTTTCTTTTTTTTTCTCTCACTTGGTCTAGTTCTTCGCCCCTATTCTTTATTTTTTTTATTTCTCTCTTTTCTCTTTCTCCCTCTCCCCCCTCTCTCTCTTTCTCTCTCCCTGTCTCCTCTCTCTTCACTCTCTCTCTCCCTGTCTCTCCTCTCTCTTCTATCTATCTCCCCCCCCCTCTCTCTCCCTGTCTCCCTCTCTCTCTCTCTCTATCTCCCCCCCCTCTCTCTCCCTGTCTCCCTCTAGTCATTCCCTTTAAACCAAAGTATTTATTCATCCATTTCGGTCACCAACAACACTCCTAATACGACGCGCCAGGGTGCCACAGTGCCATCTGTTTGGGGTCAGCGAGGTGACGGGGGGACGGAAGGAGAGTAAGAGGGAGGAGGGCAAGGGGTAAGCCGGTAAGGGGGGAAAGGGGTAATGGGGTATGGGGCAGGGAAAAGAGAGAGGAGGGGGGAAGAGGGGAAGGGGGAAGGAGGGGTAGGGAAGCATATCTAATCGAGTCCGACCATTGGTACTTCCCTCTCGCCGGCTCCTGACCTCGCATACGCACGTGGTCGTCAACCTTTCGGATAGGCACTCGTCCGGCCGTTAAAAGTAGTCTTGGTCTCGATTAAACATTTCACTGCCTTGGAGTCCTTGCGGTGACAAAGATACGCACGCACACATACACTCATTTACTCACTCACTTTCTTTCTTTCTCTTCTCTCTCTCTCTCTCTCTCTCTCTCTCTCTCTCTCTCTCTCTCTCTCTCTCTCTCTCTCTCTCTCTCTCTCTCTCTCTCTCTCTCTCTCTCTCTCACACACACACACACTACACACACATATATATATACACACACAAAGACCGACGAACACGTGCCGCTGCGTCTCCTTACATATTTACTAGCCATGACCTCTGCCACTTCTCCT